ACGGATATACTCTATCTTTTCCTCTTCGATAATACTGTCAAATTCAAAGTAGCGTCATCCTCTTAGAATAATAATGAAAGCCAAACAAATTGATACGAATATGAAGGGCTTAATCGATTTATTGGCCCCATTGTGATTGATTTCACAAATTACAATTCAATAACTAATTTGTAGTAATTTTTTAGCTATTTATCGATGTCCCGCATTCAATATTCTTGTCCTGGTGCCTTCTGCGCATTGTTATCAAGAGCACGCTGCGCATGCAAATGGCGACACATCCGCCTCCGACCAAATCTACGACTACATCCGGTCGATGATACATCCACTACCTGCGTTCGCGAAAGCTCCTCTAGCCGGTTTATATCAAACACTAACCTCCTAACATATTTAAACCTTGATATAATGTTCCAATTCTCAAATTCCCTCTGTTTTTCTTTAATTTGTCTAAATATTGTAACTAATCTATATGAAATACGTATTTTTTACAAATAATTCAATACTTAATTTAATTACCCCATGCATAGTTATTTGTGGAATTTATCCCATTGACTTTGATTGGATTTCTGAATTTAATTTAAATATGAATCAATGAAGTTTTATACAATTTATTTATAATTTCATGTGTATTTAAAGTATTATTATTACAAAGAAACAGCTGTTCATATATATGCATTTATAGATATAAACTAAAAGCTTTTATGGTCATGTACACTTTGACGACAACCATCAAAACCATATGGCACTGTACAGTCATGTGAAAAATGTAAAATCAAGATTTAAAAGCTTCAACTCCCGAAACATAAACCAATTTAATCTTACAACATCATATATTTCATAATACTCTAATCTAAATTAACTTAACTTTAATTAAATTTCGGTATGTAAAATAAAAAAAGAGAGGACGCCCACCAGAAACCTGAGAAGATGAAATAAAAGAGATATCGGGGAAAGATTGCAAAATAGGACAGACAAATCGAAGAATTTGGAAATCTTCACTCCGTCGGAGGTCGTGTCACTAATATTAAATAATGTATTAGTGTAATCGAATATAGGCTTTTTTTAAGATCCATGATCCAAACACAAAAAATTTACAAGCTTAAATTCGTTTTTTTTTAAAATATAAATTTCCATAACAAATAACAATTTCTTCTACATATTACAAAACATGTCCCTTTGTATGAGTCAAGTACGGCCTTATAGTAATTGAATACTCACATCGCGGCGCCATGCTTGACTTAAAGCTCATTCTTTTGGAACGTCACTTATTCTTCTCGTCTCATAAAAGCATTGTTAATGTGTTCTTAAGTGGAACATATAACAGCCTCTGTCGTCTGCATGTTTAGTGCATATGGATGAAAACACCAAAAAGATATCGCAAAAACTCTGTAAATTTAATAAAAATAGAAATCAATTATTGTGTTCAAATACTCTCTTTGTAAATGTAAGATTATATTCATATGAAAATGTTTCTTTGACCAATGGCCTAGTTAACGACGCACACACACTCGATTCCTGACGAAACAATAATTATTTCTGGCAGGCACATTTAGTAAACTAGGTACAGAATTAACTTAAGACGCCGAAAATTGTCCTATGCTTTAGTTTAGTAGACGAATAAAAGAAATAGCTTTAAATTGTGCATAAAATGTATTTTAATTAGACTTGCAACGAATATTCGGTTACTATTCGGTATTCGGCCTATTTGGCTGCTTTTATTATATTCGGCCGAATATCTACATATTATTCGGCCGAATACCGAATACTTAAATAATATATTTTGTCATAGAGAAATAATTGGTAAAATGATAACATTTATGTTATAATCATTTAAGTAGTCATTGGTACATAACACAGGTAGATAATCATCTTCTGAATTAGAAAAATGGAGGATTCTATGTATTTGAATTATTGTGGTAATTAAAATTTAGAAGGGTAAGGTTCTCATTTCTTTTATAATCATTCATTAAGTAGTCATTGGTATATAAAACAGGTATATAATTTAATCATTTTCTGTATTAAACAAGTTAAGAATTTTTCTATGCATTTGAATTATTTTCATAATCAAAATTTAGAATGGTTATGGTGCAGAAAGACTAACTTTTCTGCATTTTTACAAGTACAAGTTTTTGGCGCTAAAATCCAGCTTTTGCCTAACAAACTTTTACCTAATATTCGGCTATTCGGTCAGAGTCCTCGCCGAATATTCGGTATTCGGTATACTGCCGAATATACTATTCGTTGCAAGTCTAATTTTAATTATTATAAGTTATTCCTGTTAATTGTAAGCACCTGTGCATACAAACAGTATGCACATTTGCGAAGGCCAAATAGTTGCCTATAACAGACGTTTGCCATTTTATCGCTAAAGGCATCTTGAATAGCAATTAATTAGAAAAATATATTCAGTAACGTGTCCGGAATTTCTTAAGGTTATAGCATATATCATATTAAAGTCCTGTTGCAATGGCGTATAAGGGTTTTTTAAGGTTAGGGAGTAATAAGCCTTTTGTATCTACCAGATTTCGCCGCGAATCGAGCCCAGGCCCTTCGAAAAATATGTCACGTGCATTAAACACTGAGTCACGATGCCAGTACGAAATATTACTAGTGGTTAAGTCCTACGTATAACACATGTAATCCATGCTTTAATAATAATATCTTATGAATGCGTCAATGCTAATTATAATTAACATTTCCTTGCGGATAAATTGTACCAAACAAGTAAATTGGATACCCTATAAATATTTTAAAGCAATATATGTTTGTAACGTCCTCTTGCTTAAACAAAAAATACTATTTAAAATCAAATTTGAATCAATTTAAGAATGGGAAATTTGAAGATAGTTTTAATTCAATTGCAACGTAGTATTGAGAAAATAGCAGTATTTAAAATGCTATGCTGTTTTACTGTAACCGTATGTATACCTGTAGACGGTTTGGAAAAGTGTCATCGTTTATAATGATGAATTTTCATGCATCCTATTATTGTAAATTATCAATCAATATTTATAAAATAAGTACATTTATGGTTTTTCCTGTTATCGAGCGCCTCGCTCGAAAATTAATGTCGATAAATAATGAGCGATGACTGAATCACATATTTTTAGATACTTTATGTACGTTCGCCACATCTGTTACTTGTTAGGGCTTAAACAGCTATCGGTAACTAATCGTGTGGTCTCAAATAATTTTAGTTGGTATAAGCAATGCTTTTGTCGAAAATAATCGCTGAAATGTTTCCTAAATCTATTTGATAGAGATTAGACTTCGTTGCCTAATACACATCGTTTTTTGGTCGGTTTAGTCAAGATATCTTCCTTTAGGTACATATCTTAATATCCATTGATGCATAACTACAGACCAGAGAGAAACCACTAGGCTTACCGTATAATCAACTCATTAGAACAAAAAAATCGACTTAAGAATTTCGCCTTAAATTTCGGTTGACATCGTTAAAAGTATTGTACACTGTACACATGGCGGATCATGTGAAGTCATACTTAAGTATATGGCGCGAGCGGTTAGATTTGAGGCCGTGCGAGTCAACGCCACTGCCAAGGTCGGCGGCCAACGAACAATCGCAGAAGCCGTTGCAATAAAACAATATTATGTCTTGAACAAAAGACAACATTAATTGAAACATTTATAGTGTGTTGCATTTAAACTTTTGTGTTAGCTTTTTATTTATTCCTTCGAGAGCTCAGCTATTATACAACAGATTGAAGACGCAGCACGTTTATACTAAATTTTTTGTAATAAATATTAAAATGATACGATAAATAATACTTTTATAATTTTTCCCTTACAAATTGAAAGCTTACTTTAAAGCCGGCATTACTCAATAATGGTAGACAGAAAATCTGTACCACTTGCAATATGTATGCTTTGAGAATCGAAATTAGCTATTGGAAAGAAATAGTATTTTGAAGAAGACTGAATATTTTTGTATTCGCTGCGTAGGTAGGCATCACATAGCTGATAAAATGCTACATTGTAATTCCGTATTGTTAAAAATCATAGTGTGTTTTGCGAATGGTCTGGGTAATGGGTTGAATGTTCTCGCAACCGGTCGGACGGGCGAGCGGCCGCCACAAAAAGGATCCTACAGGGAACGATGAACGATCTGCGACCTCCCTACTCACTCCTCCATCTATACAGCAACATTTCCGGTTTCAATTGACATTAAACTAGTCTGTGCTGATGGTAAATGCACTGTACTTAATCATTTAACTCAATATTTGCTTAAGCTTTAGCAAAGATATTGTCAGCGAAAAAACCTGTTATACTTTCGTGTTGGCCATGATATAGATATTAAATTTGAAGCACGAAGTTTGGATCTTAAATCTTACTTAGGGAAAGTTATAATTCGGTTTGAATTTCGAACGAAATACGGCATATCATGACGTAAAGCAGTTCATAGAACATTGTTAACGATAAGCGAATATCTTTATCGCTCCGTATCTCGTTTGTTACGGTAAATAGCTGTTGACAATTTTTCCAATTTGTAATTTATATGTTTCGATACATTACAAATCGTTGTCTGAACGATAAGATCGAATTATAGAATTAAAAATCCAACCTTTTGGAGCATAAGCGCTAATTGAGAGAGATCTGCTATGCTTTCTACATAATATTATAATTGTACCTTGTTGCTTAGTATAGAAAGTGTCGAATTTACGGAAATTAAATTCAGTGTTATAAATTTAATTTCAGTTACTTAGAATTCTTTATTTGAATTTCCTAGAGAGCAATGCCTTTTAAGTCTAAAGTCTTATTTAAAATACATATATTCGTCTCGGTGTAATCTATCAGAACTGAAACTTGTACTTTACCTAATTGCTAAATTAAAATTTAATTAAAATCTCGATGTATTTCTGTTTAAAATTATTTCTTTAATAGTGCAAAATATTTGCCTATAAAATTTCATTAAAAACTGTTTTTCATAAACTAAAACGTGTTTAATTCAATATCTCATGACATTCTATTGTTTCTTGTTTTAGGTAACAATGGGAAAGAAAAGGAAAACACAAGAAACAAGGAAGCAACTTCTCCTGCAGCACGTTCAGCTAATGGTTTGTGATTTTTAACACTGTTATAAAACCTTCTTTGCCAATGCCCATTATAGAGATAGTATCTTTGCCTAACAGTCTATTAGTTCTCAAGTCACGCGCTTAATACATAAAAATCAATAAGCTATAAATTAACCTGTTATCAAATATACGTGAATGAGCATAATTCTCTTGCGAGGGTTGTAATGCGGGATGAGGGGGGCTAGTCGCACACATGGTGCGTCTCGAGGGTTAGGGAAGCTCCGCGCATGCGCCCCCTGTGCGCTATTCACGACGCACCACGCCACACCCGTTTACCCCTCGCCCCTCTATGCAGGGGTGTCAGACGCGAACCATACAATTCCCCGGAAATTGCTATTTTTCCTTAAGGCTCGATATAATAAATTTCTACGTCTTCCCGCCGCTGATCATGCCTTTGATTGGTATAATTGCACTGGTGACAAGTTTCATTGTTGGATCTAAAGTTATTTCTCAACTATCAAAGGCATCATAAAAAATAATTGAATGTCCATTCAAGCCTATACTAATTCTTGATGACTACGATTTACATACTGCCATATTTATAAATGATACATAAATAAAAAAATCTACAAAAAGGTCGTTGGCACTTCAACCTTTTTAGGATTGGGCCTCAGATTTTTGTATCTGTTTTATGACCATTTGTCAATCTAATAGGCAAGTAGGTGATCGGCCTCCTATGCCTAAAACACGCTGTCGAGTTTAAAACTCTAAGGCAAGCCTTTCATTCAGGTTTCCTCACGATGTTTTCCTTTACCATTTGAGCGAATGTTAAATGCGCCCATAGAAAGAAAGTCCATTGGTGCACAACCGGGGATCGAAGCTATGACGTCAGGGACTCGTCGCACGCTGAAGCCACTAGGCCAACACTGCGAAAATACTATCCCAAAAACGATGCTGAACGCTCAATATCATAATTTTTATGTCTTCCCAGCGTTAAGTGATGCGTTCATGCCTTTAATAGGTACAATTTTACGAGACACGGCTTGTCATACAAAACAATGAATGGTTTACATTACTTACATGGAACGATGGTTATGCAAATTATTGTTATTGTAGAATGTAATTGGAGTCTTATGTCTAGTTTCTCAAAGAACTAAAGATAAACGAAGCGCATACTGAGAAATTCACTTAATAAAGCGGGAAGTCGGCGATTCTTTTAAATAAAATATTTCGCGTATGCAAATCTAATTAATTACTTATTACACTGAATAAATAGGAAGTTTCTTCCGTAGCATGGCAACTTAGTCATATTGGCCGATATTTCATATAAAAATGTGCCTTATCAATTCACGTATATAAACAAACAAAATGGGTAATTTAAAGTCAGCTGATATGGTGCAATACCGTGTGGACGTGACTTATCAGACAACCATATTGATAAATAAACATAACCATATTTCTGAGTATTTTTATGTCTGATTAATGGACTGATTAACTGGAAAAAAATACTAAAACGTTATGCGCATTGATTCATTTATTTTCCTCGCCAAAATTTTATAATATACCTACTAGCTGACCCGGCAAACGTAGATTTGCCATGTATATTATTTCTAGGAAACATTTTTTTACTTCAATGAAAATAACTATCTACTATAATAAAAATTAGGGGTTGACGGTAGAGGGGTGACAATTAAGGATTGTATGTATTTTTGAATGCTGTAAGTATCATAAAAAAATAAATACAAAAAGTTTTGTCTAAAAATAAAAATTTAGGGGTGGGACCACCCTTAACATTTGGGGATGAAAAATAGATGTCCGATTCTCAGACATACTGAATACGCATGTAAAATTTCATAAGAATCGGTTGAGCCGTTTCGGAGGAGTATGGGAACGAACATTGTGACACGAGAATTTTATATATTTGATAGTTTACTTGTGAACGTGAAATCTTTGTAAAGCAAATAGAATAAATGTTCGTACATCCAGTGGCGTTACAAATCTTTATGGGTTCCGATTTCTAGATCTGTTTCATTGCATTTATAAAAAAGTGCATCAGCCGTCTGTGTCCGACACTTCGTCGACTTTGAGTCATTATATTGTATTATATTATATTGCTATCATATAAAGAAAAAGCGAAGGAAGACAATAATATGCACCTCATGTCTGGTTGAATGTAGGTATGTGTGCATCAACTACAGTTAGTACTAAGGTTGTATGGAAAATATCTATCACCTTCATGCCGACAGCTCGACCACAAAACAGTTAAAAGCAGAAATAGATTTAGGTAAAATGTGTCGAGTATTTTTATAAATAGTCGATTACCTAAAACCCCATTTCGAAGCTGGTTGTATAAAGAAAGTTTTAATTGTTAACCGGTTACACACTGTTAAAAATTGATTTCTCACACCTTAATTCACAGTAAACACTGCGAGAACAGTTAAGGTATAAATCACAGTCAAATGTTATTTAAATTATAACTTCTGTACTGATAAGTGGCAGTGTTCGCCTAGTTGTTGCAACGTGCAACTCTCATTGTGAGAGTAGCAGTTACAAGCTCGGACTGTAACGGCATGTGGCAAATCCTCTAGAGATTCTGCGAAGCCGTCATGCTGGTCATGCACCATAAAGAAAAGGCGGAGAGGGCCAGGGAGGTCGATCCCGCAGCCCATCCGCAATGCCGTTGCACCGTGCAACGCCTTGTGTATTTCTGGGCACGCAGACTCTTCAGCGGTTCATGCGTCCAAAAGAAGGGATCCCTGCAAGCATTGTCCCCCAGCTTTATCAAACCGGGTAAATTGGCCGATGTGAATGGCCCTTGCTGTGCCAAGATCCATTCCACATCATTCGTGGTTGTAGAGGACCGTGAGTTTAACGGCTGATCGCGTGACTGGATGCGGACAAGGCTACGCTGTTACCGTGTCCCGCCTCGGGCGATTGCTGGTGGCGCCGTGGGGTTTTAGTGGGCACATCAGCGAGTCTCACATAACCCTTCACCATCAAGCAACCGTACCGCGGGAGGGTATGCGTAACACATTTCCCCACGAAAAAAAAGTGCAACTCTCATCCCTGGGGTCATAGATGCGATCCCTTGCTTGCATTGCCTTGTCTTGCACCAATGGACTTCCTGTCTATGTGCGCATATAATACTCGCTCGTAAGGTGAAGGAAAACATCGTGAGGAAACCGGCCACGTTGTAGACCTAAAAAGTCGACGGCATGTGCCAAACACAAAAAGTAGATCACCTACTTAGCCTATTAGAAATTATCTCGGAACAATATATCTTGAACATGAAAACTAAAACATAAGCAAATTATGCCTAATTAAGGCATTAAAGAAATGTTTTTTAAAAATATTGAATGTCTTGCTTAAGCAGTTTAAACTGAGAATTTATGGTTTTACGCTTTGCCGTTTCGTTATTAAATTCGTGATTCATTTCATTTTAGAGTTCCTTCTGCAATAAAAAATAGTACTTTCTTGTAATAGTAATTTCTTGAATAACAAACTTTTTTGCTAAATTTTAATTTAAAAAACCTGAAAAATAATTCGGAGCGTATGTTTTCAAGATTACAGTTTCGCCAATATTTTATTGAAAATCGCGTTTGAGGGTAATAAAAAATTTGCTCGCATATAAGTAAAAAGTAAAACTGCTATATATGTATAACATAACTTCGTCCCCCATGGACTTAAAAATAGGGAGTACCTCACGAACGGCATTATAAAATGACGTCAGAGTATCACATTCCCTTGTGAATCAAAAGGACAGCTGCCTAATTGGTAAGAGGCCGTGTTATTTAGTTAGCGACAGACACCAGGCGTTTGATAGCGAACGCGCCTTTTTCATTCCATATATCGAATAAATTAATTGTAGTCATTTATGAAAAATAATTCCGAAAAGGAATTTCGGTTCAGTGAAATCTTTCTAAATATATATTTTGCGTTGTCATGCATTTAAATTAATTAAGTATGTAGACTGTTTAAAGTTTTCACTGCAAAATACCTCGTAGACATACCTCACAAAAGTCTATCTAGCGAGAGGTCATTAACCGACTCTGCGATAACAGTAAAATGTAATAATCACTAAACCAAATACATTGGATAAAGTATTTAAGTCCAAACCGCGATATGTTATAAGGTTCCTTAAATCTTCTTAAAACTATGTTTTAGCTAGGCAAAATTAATAATATAAGAATATTGAAACCAAAATGAAACATTTTAACAATAAAGCAAAACTTCATTTATTTATATAAAATAATTTAAATCAATGTAAAAACCAAGTAAAGAAGCAATTCTCGATCTCTTCTTTTGCATTCATAAGCGATAGAATTATTTTTCTGTTTAAACATACTAAACTTTTATTGATTTATACCATACACAACATATAACATTTTGCAATGAAGAATATATCCGTTAACATAATCCTTATTGTTGTTTCAACTGTACTAGCGTTTATTGAGAATGTTTAGAGTTTGGAGAAGCGAACATCGACTGATTTTGGTCCTAATAAACTCATAGATTTCATAATATCTAATACCTAATTATGTTTTGTAACTTTACCTCGGCAACACCGTTTCGCGTTTATTTCTGGCTAGTAAACATTTACTCAGTTCAGATATTTGGAGCCGTTCCAGTGAAATACCTCATGAAATACTTATGAGATAGTAAACATGTGGTATAGGCTTTCAACCAGATTGCCATTCATTAGAATATCATTCAGCGACCAAACAGCGATCACCATTATATAGAACCACGCCCTATACTTTTATGACAATCGCATTTTACGTTTAATTTAAATCAAGAACTGTTCGCTTTAACCTGTTTGCCTTTAAAACTAGTTAACAATACTTATCCAACGATTTACACAATATGTTGTAAGTTGGTATTTTATTAGGTATTCAAGAAATAATTAGTATTCAGATTTCATTCCTAAAGACATATATATACCCTCTTTAGACAAAAGTTCTTCCTTTTTCTTCCACAGCGCACTCATTTTTCACAAGTTTCTTTGTTACGAATAAATAATTCTCATATTTTTATCATTACCATCGAATTTATAACACGTGTCAGTAATTCGAAATTGGAACACATTAGTCATATAATGATGTGCTTAAATAAACCGTTTCGGATTATATGTGAAAAACTATGTTTAGTATTACTATCTCAGCACAAAAATAGTTTGAGCATTTATTATAATGACAGCCATGTCAAATAAATAACTCTGTAAAATATTGATAGGAGTAATGAGTGCGCGATTGCTGAAGCTCTTCCTACATTCACAAGTACATTGAACCCGTTTTGCAATTAATAATTTATTTTGCAATAACGGCATTGATGAAATTATCTTAATTACGACATAAATCATTTTTTCCATACATAGAGCAGAAAAAAGGCTTCAACGTCAATACTAAGGTGTTAGGGGTCGTTACAAAGGTGATTCACATTTAATAGCTACGTTTATCACGTTAAGTAGTCACAGAGCATAGCAAAGGTCGCTTCCTTCCTTGAAGGTTGGTTCCGCTTTGACGACCTCATTAGGAGACGAAAGTGAGTCAGCTGTCGATAACAAATCGGTCCATACCTACAATTAACATTCTTGTCATTAACCTTACTTGTAGTAAGTAGTCCGATAAGTATACCTTTTAACAAAAGAAAGCTGCTCTTTAGAAATATAACTTTATAAAATTAGACTCTTGTTAAAGCTGTATAATTAAATAGGCAATGTTTCTAAGTCAATTAGGAGAAGTAATTAAAATTTAAAATAATTATCCTCATCATAATTTTATTTTATTACAGCGTTCATGAATTTCGTTCTAAATATTCAATCAGTCAATTCAGTCTCGAGAGTTACAATCGAAATGGTTTTGTAAAATTCTCGGTCGGTGTAATTTGGCTTTCTCTTTGGTTAATTAGTGCACTCTTTTCTAAGCTTGCTTTTGATATGCATGTTGCGTCATGTAATCCATATGAAAATGTATAATTGTCTTAAACTGTCCAGATACTATATAGATGTTGTCCGAAGTCGCTTACAAATGAAATACCGCATATAGAGTGAAATTCTATGTATAATTTACGATGTATTAAATCATTTAGACATAATCTACATAGGTACTAGACACTAGATAGCTACGACTTCTAAATAATTATTAACCAAACTATTATTTAATAAACACAAACTAATTAAAATGATAGAAGTATCTCGAGTTCAATGTCACCAGAATAATATTATTAAGCTTTATCGAATGTCATGCGTGCATTGACCGCTAGAATGATTATTAACATATAATTTGATAAATTACAGACTAAACAACACAATATTCAGAAAATATATTTGCCCCTACGTTGTTCTTAGATATGTATTAGGCGTAAAAAAATTATAAACAACATTCAATTTGCAAATGGATAAAAAAATGCTTCTCTATGTTCAAAGATTTAGATCTATTACGAGTCAGGTTTACTGGGTTTAAGCTAAACACGTTTGAGTTTATGAATAACATAATGGTATCAATTGTTTAACTCATCTATAAACAGGCTATAATCATAATATTTGACATAACAATGATTTCGTGTTTGTATAAAAATGCGACAGTCTGTCTGGTTTGTTCATGGCGCTCCATTGTGGGGAATTATTTAACGCTGGGCCGGAGCACGGTAGAGTACGAGAGGAATCAGTGCGGGAGAGAGGAGGCTGCGGATCAATACTTGGTGCTCGGCGCGTCGAAAGCGAACGCACCGAACACCGACCCCGGTGCCCTTCACCGGAGAGTCGACGAACCCTACACCCCCGCGTGTCACACCCCGTAACCCCGCAACCACCCTTCGTCACTTCCCCAAAGGGATCTTCGTGACCCGATTAAATATCATTGAAATCATTAATAAGAGATCTACTTTATTCCTTCGAAAGTATCTATAGATTATTCTCAACTGATTTCACATGAGACTTCGCTACTTAGATTTTTTACGATATGCGAATAGACGAGAGAATATAGATTTAAAAATACCAATTTTGTAGCAAGAGTGCTCTCAAATACCAGGTACAATAATGAGTCATAAAAAAGCTGAGGTAGCGATTGTGGTGACTCGAGATAAAACTTGTCTTAACCCGATCAATACCGTCTCGTTAGTATTCCGGGAATGCAACCGCCGAGTCTGATATCTACCATTTTTATTTCTATGAAATTATGTACTTAATTAAACCTATACATCTATTCATAAACGTACATTGATAATCAAATATAAAAACGCTTTTTATGTTTCTGCTGCTATTAATACATTTATTGTGGCCAGAAAATGTATTGAAATTTAATGATGCATTATATATCTACAAATTTAACAGAAATAAAGCGCAAAAGATAATAATTGAAAATAAATGAGAACCGTGGATCAATAAAGTCAAACCATAGCTGTCCAGACAATCTTTGCGGGTAGTCTAGCCAATGAACTTGAATGACGCGTGGGGCCTCCAGTGCGCATGCTGGGTATAAATAGAAAATGGTTCGCTATCTGTGTCCCTTCATATGAATCGAAGTAAATTTAGAATTACAACTGTGTCCTTCTCTATAATAAATCTGTAGTACCTCTGCGAAGTAATAAAAATACAGATTAAAAAATGGTTCTTTTACTACTTGGAACAGTTTTTTTTCACTAATATGTAAATATTAGATTTAATTTTTTGACAGATAACACGCATGTCATACAAAATTATTTTACTTTATTTACAATCTGTTTACTGTTATATTTTGATACCTTTTTGCATAACCTAAAAGAACTAAGTATCTCGTAAAGACATTGATCCAATGCGAGAGCAACGGTGCCGATGTTGGTTTCAAAATAAAGTGAAATAAATAATTAATATTCCTCTTGACCGGAGTCAGATGTCGAGATAAAATGAATCTATTTTTGCCGCGAAGCATTTGGGACGCACGCTGGAAAACATATTCTGCCTGACTTATATTTAGATGCCCTACTAACGTAGAATTCTTACTTCGTCTTTCATTTGTTATGAATATTAGCCACTACAAGCTGACAAATGAAGCTAATATTTGTCTAGAAATTGTTAAAATAATTATCGTCCAACTGTTGGTAAGAGGCTAACGTTAAAAAGATAACATGCTTCATTATTCTGTATGGCAATCCAGTGCCAAGATCAACTATAAACAACTATGACGCTTCACGTGATTGATTACAGCTATTTTTAATAGGTAGTCTCATTGAAATACAGCTCAGTTTAAAGCGTTTATTATGCAATACTTCTGAAATGCACTAAACACTACACTGAAGGAACTTTACACAAAAATACGACTAAGTATCTAAATCCATTGTTTGAATAATTGCAATCAGAAAACGCGAATAGATTTAGATGCTTTGTATGTCTCTGTCTGCGCAGCGAGACATAAAAAAAGACCTAACCTACAATCAAAAGTATATTATATTTACAGGTGAGGAGCATCCCGGTCAGAAGCAACGTAAAGGTTTCTTTCGGAACCTTTGGAAGAAGTCTCGCCATTATTCCTTAGAGCATCCATGACTCAACAAGTCATATCGATGGACACTTTGCTTACCATAAACCCGAACTGCTCTCCGAAGCACGTTACCTACTGTTGTATTTAACCGCGCACAACTACTATTGCAATGATTTATTTATTCGAAATAAGTAATATATTGTTCATAACATTAAGCGTTAATATTTTTAACAAATAGTGTACACGTGTGAATGTGGCTTTGAGATGTGTAGTTGTAAGTCTTAGGTACCGACATGGATGTTTGAATAAATCAATAAACTAACTTCCTTAAAACGCGACGATATTGTCACTAATAGTAAAATTGAAAAGTCCAATTACTATTTTACGATTATAGTCGTCATCTTAAGTCTCAAGTTGCAGTTTTTTTTAATATTATCAATACCATCACTACTACAGCTGCTGATCATTGAATTTATTTAAATGTACAGTATTACTATTTATAAATGATCTTTGAACAATCTTATAAAATTTACAATCTACCACGCTTTTGCGTATATTAATTGATACTTACTTACTTTCTATCCCTTATATAAAGCTTGGCCTACGTTTTTATGAGTTTTTCGCCTAGACGCTTCTTTATCATGTATTAATTAATTATGAACTGTAGAAATGTAGATATACACATAGAAGTTTAAGTACTATGTATTTCTGTTTTCTCACCACGATACTTGGGAGTTATGCTGAAAGACACAATACATATTTATACATGTTTACACAACAGCTATTGGCACAACAACTTTTATAAGTTTAAATATACTATTTTTGTCGTAGAATTTAGGCTTGTAAAGTTACTCTTGTATTGAATAATTTCTAAGAACCAGTCATTTTTGAGGACTGCAAGTTTTAATATTTTATACCAATTCTTGTATTCGAGTGTACTTAAATCTCTATTATTATTGTAGATTTTGTCAGAAGAAAATAAATTATGTTCATTAGAAAAAAGTTACGATTTTTATTTATCACCTACCCTACATTGACGCAATATACAAACATGTTGACTGGGATGTGGTTGCAGCGTCTCGATGGCATATATATGTAAATGAGAATGAGATACGCAGATCAAACAAAAATAATAAACCGCCAAAAATTTCTTTCGTGGAATGGCGAGATGGTTCGTTCATATAAGAGGACAAGCCAAAATCTATTCATTAGAGTGTGGGTACTTTGAAAGTGAACAAAGGTTTCAGGGCCGTAGGAAATGGTCTGTCCGGTCTTCCACTCATAAGATAAAATATGTATATCTAAAATACCATTCCACTAGAATAGATGTTGAATCAATTTAACATTTAGGAATGAAATTTTGCCTTTTACCTACTTATATTTACTTATGGTATCTGATATTGTAATAAAAAATATTACAATAAGTTATAAAATCAGTAAATGCATTTATATCAAGGTTACCTATGTAATAAGTGGAAATGGAAAAAAAACGAAATTGTTATATAATACAAATCATTTTATTATTAGATAGACACAGTTCCCATCGCTTATCAGAAACAATGTACAAAGCTATAGTAGTAATATCAAATATAAACAATATGCACCCTTCGTTTACTGCAAGCCTTGTTTGAGGATAAAGGTTAATAATAATAATTGAGCGCTTCTAGTTACTGCAGCTAAGAGAAAACAGAATGCAAATGGTTTATGTTTCACTACACAGTATTATAAATGCGGAATAATGAAAAAAAAGAAGCATAGCAAACATTTGGCGTGCGTTAGGCGCGACGCATTACATTGGATGTTATATTTTTCACACGATGGTTCCAGTGGGACTAGAGATTTTTCATTAAAAATGTATTACTTTTACTTGGGTTACAGTGTCTTTCATTTCATAACAAGCCCTTACACAAATGCCTATTTGTAGTTACATATATAATAATTGTTGTATATCGTTACAGTAATTTCATTACGTGGTTATAGTGATTTCTTATCAAGCATCTGCACACAAAAAATTTACTTGATTTGACTTTGCTCTGTCGTAGAAAAAATTCTGATGTTAGAGGTATTAATTAATACGAATCTGTTAGATATAACAGCTGTTAACGACAGATCGCTTGAAAAGAAATAAAAAATCTCTATACATCATACTTTGGGACCGGCTAGCAAAGTCGCCATTCTTTACAGCATAGGTCAATAAAAAGCAAATTTTAAAATATAAATTTAAACTATACACAGTCACAATTACTCTGTGGAAGCGGTGAGCGTGTAAAAAAGGGTCCAGAATCCGCAAAGCAATTGTATCTGCACACAGTTACTAAGCACATCAGACACTGATGACGCCATAATTTATCGAATATCAAAATGAACGATTCTTATCACTTTATAGAATATACAAAATGCAGTTACTTATTTCCCTGTGGAAAAAATATTATCTTAACGTATTCTTAGATCACGGCGCGCTTCGATCTGGAAGAGAACATTGAGGTGAGTAAAAAGACTTTATGGCATACTTAAAAAAATATTTAGTAAATACCTACCTTTAATAACCACAGGTAAGTAAATAGTCTCCTAACTTCTCGACTACAGATGCAGCTTGTTGGGGTTGAATGGGTTCTTCATAGAGAGATATAACGATTGCTGAAAAGAAAAAAATATTAATTTTCATATTAACTTCAGGTGTTAACGATGGTATCACTGCTGTAAGCATGTCTCATAGAAATATATTGTATTCGGCTTCTTGGTGAAATCGTATATTTATCAGTCATAACTGTATTTAGGTAGAATCAGTCGAAACAATAACTTTAACATGGCCAGATTACGTTTTTTTTTAAAGTTAAACGTCTACTGAAAATTTGAGGTTAAAGTCATCAATTACCTTGCTGTGTCTTCATGCAGTGCACTCCGACCTTGCCAAGCTTTGCGCGTATGATACGGTCTGTGCCACTGAGGTAGATGTACCGCGTACCCGCTATCGTCACGCCGCCACTTGTAAGGAGTGATTCATTTTCGTAACCGGCTGCGATTTTTGCAACTTCGTCTTTTGAAATCTAACAACAAGAAAGATACTAGTTTAATCATATGGTCATGTAGTGATATGTGCAGCTTTAGTGAAACCTTGAAATATTGTAATGATTATCTAAAAATTTAATGGTATTGTTGTAAGGACAAAGATTTAAAAAGCCAATAACTACAACACTACCAGAAAATAATACTTGTATCTATTTTTAAATTATATACAATCCACCAAAACCATTTACTCAATTTTGCATTCAAATCTTATTTCCCAAAACCATGACTATTAAGTCTACAGTAAATTTAGGCAACTCTATTAATAATTATAAAGCAAAATTAGTATAGAGAACTTTTTTTATTAACTACTGACTGATTCGGACTACCACTCATTAATTGTAGGATACATGACAGTAATATTTCATCGTAATACAGTTAGATGAAAAAAGAGGCAAGTTTACTTTTGAGATAACAAACTATGAGTAGAGACCAGAACTATGTATAAAAGAGATTTTAGGTTAGATAAGAAATAAATATTAAAGTAATAATAATATTTCACCAAGTCTATTAACAGAAAATAAAGGTATCAAAGTACATACAAATGTTTGTTTATAACTGTATGAAGTAAACATGTGTCAAAATCATTAGTTACAGTTTTATGTCTAACAAGCCACAGACATGGCAAAAGAAAATTATATTTTGTTGAATCTACTTTTTTATTTATTCCTTAACACATAATAAGAATCATATGTATTTATCATAAATGTTATGGATCTTTATGTTAAAGACATTAAACTATTGATATGTTTGTATTATTTAAACAGTATATAATACTAATTAGGTATTTTTACATATATGCACCTTTAGTTCCATAATATAAGATAAATAAAAACATACAATTTGGTTAGAAGTTACAAACAATTTAATACATTTAACGAATTTCATTAATCACAAAAATACACAATTATTAATAATGGATCGAGTATAATAGCAACATATTTAAATAAAGTAAAACACCATACATAAATAATATACAAAGGTAGCGATTGGCGATGACTCATTATTACCCGATATTGCAAGATTCGGCGTAAATAATAAATCATGGGATCAATGGTTTAACATTATAGATAGCTATTAACAACTAAATGAACTGAACTGTTACAATTCTTGAAATAAATGCCTAGGCCTTCGCGACCTGTTTAAAATTAGTCGACAAAATTATGAAATTTTCAAAAAGTACCGGCCGGCGAGTTGGCTAAGGAAACCGTTTATAAATCTTTATTACTATTTTTTATCAGGAATAAAAGTTTAAAAGTAGCCTGAGAGAAAGGTAAATGCGGTAACAAGAATTAAATTAAAATCCCATAAGGCGTTATGATTATATTTCCAATAGGAACAGGTTGCAAGTTGCTACCACATGTCGCCATCTTGCCAACTTTGTGATTTCGATTATAAATTGTCGCAATAGTCTATGTATTTCCAAAAAAAGTCCCTTAAATTCACAATTATAATCACGAAAATCTATACGTGTAATTTTCACATATCACAAAGGAATATAACTTACATCAAAGCCTTCAGACTTGGCCCAGACATTTCCGTCGTGACCGGTAATTGCAGCCTTTGAAACACATCTGGATGCAATTAACTGTTTGTCAACATAATCTTGCCAGCTCATTTTGAATAAGTTCTTAAAAATTAAAACTAAACTTTGCTATAACACAGTCTTATCGCTGCAACGAGCTAACGCTCCACACGAACAAAAAGCACTGCCGTTTCAAAATGGCAGCGTTCATAGACAGCAGACACAACAGGAAACACTGTGTGCCAACATAAGAATAATACGGATGCGTTTACTGTAAGATTTAATTTGTATATAGCAATTGATCCACAGCTACTATATTATGGCAAAACTGCCTGTAAAAAACCAATAGCCAAATATGCTTTTAAATTTCCAAAGTAACGTAAATATGATAGTTATTTCTCTATTAAAAAAGAACAAGAGTGTCCAAATTGAGAAAACGGTTTACTGAAGAAAGAGATACAAATATTTATTCAATAATTTTATTTTTATTTATGACGATGTTTGTAGATACTGAATCATAGAACTTTATTGTAAATTCTACAAATAAATTATAAACCAGGTACACAGATACACATCGTACTTAAAATATTATTACCGTAAATCTTAAACAAATTTAATAATTTCATTTCACTTGTATTTTGTCTACGGCTTTGTAGCCTAAGCCATACATGCATTATATTTTTGAAGTTGTACTTCTTTAGGCGCGTTATGAAAAATTGATGAGAGTGAAATTTTACGATTGCGCGCGCACCTATGACACAAAATTGGCAGTGTGATATAGCGTGCGCGAGCGAGATGGGAATAAGACAAACTACAAGTAAAAGAAATAGAATATGCGTGAAGCTAACTTCACGCATATTCTAGCTTAGCAGCTTAACAAGAATTTTGAATGACCATGACAATTGACATCTGACAATGACATTTACCTTTTAAACAAATATAGGAGTTTTAATTATTGTTTAAAATTAATAATTATATACCTAGTTATTTTCATTATACAAAATATTTGTGAAATAATATAAAATATTTGTGAAAAAACTGTGCTAACCTTCCTGAGTGCTTCAATACAATTGAGGTTAACTATCCGTATGTATTATCGAGTATTATTGTTGATTAAAACTGAAACATGAACCATTATTCATTGCTTTTGTTTATTGCGTTTGTTACAGCAACTTTTTAGAAATATTCTACGACCCTATATATCAATAATTGAGAACAAAGATTTAAGCACGAATACTAATAAGGAGAAAATGAAGGCTTGGAGCGATATAACAGAGAAGTAAACATTTTAATAAGTACCTGCATCTCAAAAAAAATGACCACATTATTTAATCAAAACATCAGATTTAATCTAGCAAATATAAGGACAAGAGACAAAAAACAATTGATGAATCAGTGGAAGTGCACTAAATTGAATACAAAAAAAGAGTTGTCATCTTATCGCCGTGAAACATCAAAAACTGGAGGTGGAACAAAGCCACCATCACCTTCTCGAGACACAATGGTTTGAAGTAGATTTCAATGAATTTGATTGTGATGGTGTCGAGGTAGGAATGTTAATTATAAATATGATGTATGGTGATGTTCAAGGTTCAACCTTTCAAGCATAGGCATATGCTTACAACATTACTTTATTCCCCTACAGGGTAGTTAGAGATATTGTAATACCTCAAAACATCCATGTTGCACTTGTAGTACCGAAACTCTGTCCTGCCAGAAGTGAGCCCATTCCCACTTATAATGGACAGTGGGTATAATACACCTTAATACCTGAGTGCGAACCACTCACCATGATACTTAAATTAATAGATGTTATTTATATATTTCAGGTTATTACAAATAAAATCATTTTGGAAACAATTGATATCCCAAAAGCAAATAAAGCCAACAATGACAAGGTAATAATAATTTTGACATAACTTGAATACTAAAAAAGCCAAACAAAGGTGTGCACAACAGTGACAACATAACTTAACAATTTCATTATTTTGTAGGATTAAAGAAAGGTTAAAGAAAATCATGTCGAACTGAACAACAAGAATCCCCAAACAACTCCAAAGAAACCTACAAGGAAGACACCGGTATTATATTTAAATTATCTCTATCTCTAAATAGAATAAAAGAAAGTTGCTATCCAGGTCTGTAGCATGTGCTAAAAATTATATTATTAACACATTTATATAATTATATTAATATAAATGTGTTAAAAAATTTATAATATGAATTATAAAAAAATTTAAGTTTTGCATGGACAGAGCTTAAATTAATATTCTCTTATTTGTTGCAGAAAGCAAGTAGTTTTGGAGAAGCCTTGTAGATGCACAACCAAGTAATGATTAATTTAAAATTACAAACCGAAATTCTGATGAAGACATTAGAGTCACTTAAAAATAAATAGTATAATGAAATAAAAATGTTTTAAAGATAAATAGTGTTTTATTTGTTTAATGTAAGAGAATAATAATAAATATTTATTTAGTTAATTTTTCAAATGTAAACTGAACTTTATTGACTTTAATGACTCCTTTTCCAGTCTTTGATTATTTAATTGTAATTAATTATTTGCATGCAATCAAAAACTATTTTTAATAATGCCAAAGAAGTATAACTTCTTACGCGCGTACATAAGTACATGCATTATATTTTTATAAAATTTAAACAAAGAAGACTGCTTCAACGTTCTTTAATACACTTATACATATTTAAAAGAAACGTACTGTAATAATTAATGATTGGTTTGTTTAACCAAGTTGTGCTAAATATAAGCCGAATATGGCAACAGGAACATAAAATGTATGTTTTGTCTTTATCTTTCTTATGGAATTATTGTAGGTACTATAATTGTATTGAGTGGTATTACTTTTAATTTTTAGATTATATGGTTCCATATATAATTAATAATATGTAATAAAGAGTAAATAGAGTTTTTTTGGAAAATAAAATATTCTAGAACTGTCAATTATAAAATAATAGATTATGGGATACTTTATGTCGAATAAACTGAATGTATGAATGATTAACTGTATAATAAAGGGAACAAATGCTATAAATATCATTAATTTATTCAATTCTTCATGGCCAAGTTAAATTTTATAATATTTAGTAACTAACATGAAAATATAATGAAATATATTACTTATATGTCGCAGCCAACTAGCTTAATTAACTGTTCAATCACCAGCCTAGCATTTTAACTAAACGGCGCCGTTTAACTAGCGGCCTGAAAGATGTTCAGCCAGTTGATAAAACACCTAGGCAATTAACTTTGATGACATTTCAAAAGGCTAGGCATTTATTTGACCAGCTAATTAAGCTAGTTGCTAGTAGGCTGCGACAAATCTAAGAAAGAGTGAGCAAAAAAGAAAAATAGTAGCTGTATCTACCTATCTTCTTTCAATATCTTATATAAGTTTATATTTCAAGGGGCAAGATTTCTGCGGCGCTCCCAAACTGGAATTTAAACCCCTACGAAAAAAGCAAAGGATATAATGAAGCAACCATTTATTAAAGTAAATCCCCATTTTTAGCCTTGGTTATCAAAGTCGATGTTTTTAGCAATTTAATTTTGGATAAAATTGGCAACTCTGTCAATTTCGATAGGGATATTGTATACGCAGATAGGTTTTCGTCCTCTTCCCGCTAGCAACCATTACAGACAATAATATTCGCATTGCTAACCATTCATTTGTATACAGTTCTTGTAAGTCACGATCTTTGATATATGTATTTTAAAACAAATTCATTTTGATTAATCAAAAAACATTTCATTCTTTAAAAGTCTTTCACCAGTCGATTCATTTACAGGTGTGTCCAGTGTACAGTCAGCTATAATAGAATATTTTGATTTATTTGCGCATGATAAATTACTGACTTCACTTTCTCAAAATTTGAATGTCTTTTCCGCAGTAGTGGTTTGAAGTAGCACCCTTCATTGCTAATTGCAAGTGCTTCTATATAACGGCAGCAAATTTGGCTAGTAGTTGTATTAAGCCCAAGAACTTTTCGTTATTTAGCGTAAGTATATGATTTATCGGAAGTAACTCTGAACGCCATGTTGTTTTCAGATAAATTAAGTATTATGTGCATCAATCTAGACAAAACATTATTCCATCTTGTAGTTTCTATTGTTTACAATTTTTTTTGGGAAATATAAATTAGAAAAATCGCCTAGTATCATTCTTCGGATAATTAAATCAATTAATGTGAGTTTACACTGGGCCACTTATTATTATACGATCAATAATTTTTCTGTTTCGAGTGAGTGGCCAAGAGACTGAATCTAATATTATGTCCGGAACGACAGCCTTATCGTCCTCTAGAATTTGTAATTGTTGTATATCATCAATGAAGTAATCTTGAGCAGCATCTGTAATAGAAGCACAACTTGTCTACTCACATTGGAAACCTTCGTCCACAATCCCATCAATAGCTATCTGATCTTTGTCAGACAAAAACTCCACTACCGATGCATTCGTTTGTATCCCAGATATACATACTAAAGGTCAGGTTCAGGTCTTAATTTTTTGTTGTGATATATTTATATATATTGGTTTGTAAAATTCCAATTTAACGAATTCGCCAAAAAATTGTAAACAAATGATAAATAAAAAAAATAAAAAATTGACGGTAAAAAAACCTACAATGTTACAAATCAAATTAACAAAATTTGTTAATTTTGTAATTGTTTAGTAAATGAATAAATTGATATAAAAATTTGCTAAAAATAAGAAAGTTTTTTAGTCAGTCATCTTTTAAAGTCAATGTGCGTTCTGATTAGGGTAGTAAATTTATGTTAAATTATATAGGTGGTGTGTGCGAATTGTCAAAGACAGAAATACCCAAAGATAACGGACATTTGACGAAAAAATCTAAGAAACTGTAGCACTAGGATGTAGGCTTTCATTTAAGAGTAATGGATATAAAAGGGCCCTTCATATTCGGCACCCTGGGCGGCTGCCCAACCGCGTCCTACCCTAACGCCGCTACTGCATACGGGCACCACAATCTAAATAATTTTACTGTGAACGAACTTACGACAACATTACAACGACATTAGCTTACGCTTGGTCACGTGACTGTTTTCATATACAGTAAAACAGCTAAAGCGGATCACGCCTGTCACGAAGTACCTTTGTCTTGCCTAGACACATCCCGCGATCAATAGATTTTGAATTTTGGCATTTACTTCTGGGCTGCCAGTTACAAATAACCTTTTCATTTCTGTCGTTGAAATACTTAATAAATTAGTTAATATAATAATTTCATCATAGAATATTACAATAAAAATTCCTGTGATTAATAATTAGTTTTTTTAAATTGAGCATTTTATGGTTTTGCATATCAAGCTTAGAAGTGAATTTAAGTAATTATTTTTGAAAAGCTTCTCTAAACTTAAATTGACCTTGCTAGTTCTTTTCCGTTCAGCTACCGCGATTGGAACATGTCTTATTCACCTGAAAGAAGGTAAGATAAGTTTTATGGACGTTTTAAGCAGTGTAATTTACAGAAAATGTGTGTGAAAAGTGAAAAATTAAGCTACGAGCTAAAAGGTTCAATAGTACTTGCGTTTCTATTTAGGAAACGGAATAAAATTATATTCACCACGGTCGCCGATTGCCAACATGGCGCTGGTAGGAGAACATTATTACTAATCCGGCTCTGTGCACGTGTTTTATAAAATTATTGATTTTACGGCTCAAAATTGTTCCAGAATGTGTGTATATTTTCCCTTCTAAATCACGGTATTACATGGTGTAAATTTAACAATAATTAGCCTATAACAACAATTTGACAGTGGGGAAACAGATTGAATTTTGCATATTCATCGACTTTAAACCTTCAATATATTATTGGCGTTATGCATATTTCATGTTATTTTCTTATGCTTTAGGACGGATGATTGGACAGACGATGCTAAGAATGGCCCAGCGAAGGATCAAGGTTACGAGGGTCCTCCCGGAATGGAGCCTGGTGGAGCCCTCGACACTAACTGGGACGAAGTCGTGGAAAGCTTCGATGACATGAATTTGAAAGAAGAATTGCTGCGAGGAATATACGCGTATGGTTTCGAGAAACCGTCTGCTATTCAACAGCGTGCTATCATGCCCTGCATCCAAGGCCGCGATGTCATAGCCCAAGCTCAGTCAGGAACGGGCAAAACTGCTACATTCTCTATCTCAATTCTTCAACAAATTGATACTAGTATTCGTGAATGTCAAGCTCTTATTTTGGCACCGACAAGAGAGCTTGCTCAACAAATTCAAAAAGTAAGTGATATTAGGTTCAGTTATTATTTATGTTTATGTACTATAATACAGTTTCAATAACAATGCATTACTTATATGTAGGTGGTGATAGCACTTGGTGATCATTTAAATGCAAAATGTCATGCTTGCATTGGTGGTACCAATGTACGTGAAGATATGCGTCAGCTGGAGAGTGGTGTGCATGTTGTTGTGGGAACACCTGGCCGTGTTTATGATATGATCACCCGCCGGGCTTTGCGAGCCAACACTATCAAGCTCTTTGTACTTGATGAAGCTGATGAAATGTTATCAAGAGGGTAAGACTTATAAGACTTATTCGTTAATAATGTATAATAGCTGGATTTGCATTATGATAAGTGAACATTCATCAATTTTGACTGAACAGAATTAATTAGTAATTGATCTTATATTTCAGATTTAAAGATCAGATCCATGATGTATTTAAGATGCTCTCAGCTGATGTTCAGGTTATTCTGCTATCAGCTACAATGCCAGATGATGTATTGGAAGTCTCTAGATGTTTCATGAGGGACCCAGTGCGCATTCTTGTACAAAAAGAAGAGGTAATGCTTAATTTGAACATAATAATACAGTTGATAAATAAATATCAAACATATTTTGGTGCTATGCTCTTTGCTGTCACATTTTAATATGCTTAATTATATAAATGTTCTCAGTAATTTGATATTACCTTGAGAGAATGTAAGCTAATCATGCTTATGACATCATTTTTATTCAGTAGAGGCTGTCTTAAGTTACATAATGGCATGAAAATTATACTTTATTTAAAGTCATCCCTTTAGCTAAACTAACAAGCTTTAGAAAAGCAATTTAACATTTACTTAGGTAATAATAATATACTACTACCTAAGTAACTGTCATCAATATATATTTCATTGTAAAATTTTAGCATAATTGACTTAAATACTATATTTATATTTTTGCTCAGGTAGCAGAGCAAGTCCCTTTTAGTTTATATTGAAAACAACAATACAAGTCTCAAGGGATTTCTTCTTACACCTTAAATAGTAAAGAATTGAAACAATAAAGAACAAAACCTTTTATCTGAATTTTTTTTATTGTATAAAGGAACCATTATTAGTTTTATGGCTTTTTAAATATTCTATTGTTACATGCATTAATATTATTTCAGCTAACCCTGGAAGGTATTAAACAATTCTTTATTTCAATTGATCAAGAGGAATGGAAGTTAGATACTCTCTGTGACTTATACGATACTCTCTCAATTGCACAGGCTGTAATTTTCTGTAACACTCGTCGCAAGGTAAGTGACTGTTTCTTAGGATTATGATAATTTAGAAACTAAATAATGTGAATGTAATCTAACAAGATGCCTATTTAATTTTTCTTTTCTGTTATTTTTATCTCTGGTAGAGATACAAAAAAAAAGTTGCGTTTCATGATTTTAATATATTTTTACTCATGGTTCTGGTCTCATTGCATCTCTATTCAATATTACCCGATGATTGGTAGCAGGTATTAAATCTACTAATACTAAAAAAGGTATTTGTATTAGTAGATTTAATACCTGCTACCAATAAGTTATAAAGAACAGCAAATGCAAGCAAGAGCAAGAGGCTCCTTGCTTGCATTATACAATTTTACCAGTGAAACATGATGAAACAGAAAAGCTGTCTTGTTGATGTTCACACTGGTGAAGAATCATTAAAAAGTCTTCAGTAAGTTTCTATGTAGAATAACAAAATATGTATTCAACTAATCTTTCTAGTAGTATATTTTGAATAAATTAACTGCTTATTTCCAGAAAATATAATAATAAATACAACTTTCAGGTCGATTGGCTAACAGAATCCATGCACAATCGTGATTTTACTGTTTCTGCTATGCACGGAGACATGGAGCAAAGGGAACGTGAAGTGATCATGCGGCAGTTCCGTACTGGGTCTTCTCGTGTGCTGATTACTACTGACCTGCTTGCCCGTGGTATCGATGTACAGCAAGTCTCATGTGTCATAAACTATGACTTGCCCACTAACCGCGAAAATTACATTCATAGGTAATAGTTATTACTTACCTTACAAAATATCTGAAGAAAAAAATCTTATTTCTAATTAATTCTTTATTTGTTGTACAGAATCGGAAGAGGAGGTCGATTTGGTCGTAAAGGAATCGCCATCAACTTTGTGACTGAAGCGGACAGACGAGCCTTGAAGGACATTGAGGAGTTTTACCATACTACTATTACTGAAATGCCCAGTGATGTGGCCAACCTTATCTGAGGTGCCTACGCATTCCGGTTTATAATTTTTGTGTCCTGCATACTATTGCGATATTTTTACAGTGTGAGTATTAGGAGCGCCTTCCAAGTACCGCTGTGCTATTTTTTATTGGAACTCATTTCATTTGGACAGATATTTGTTTTAGTTTAATTAATGAATACATACTATTATAGTCTTATAAATATAAGTTTAATATACTTCATAGGCATAAGACCGGCTTGGCCGGATGGCCCCCGTTCCGCGTAGACCTCTTTGTCATTTGCAGAGGGGTCTCATCGGGTACTGGAGAGGCTATTTCAATCACAAAAGTACTAGAAGGAAATATTGTATTGTAACCTCATTTTCCAGTTGTACATAATATGGTAACTGTTTTGTAATTCAGTAAATAAATATAATTAAACATCTATTTGGTATTGTTATTGAAGAGAATTGTAGCACTCCATTCCCGATCGGAACCTTTTTTAAAATCACAAATACTGAGCTAGTAAAAATTTTTGTTTACAGAACATCTACCATCTCGCCTGAACACACTTTGGATACAACTATGTGGAAATAATAAATCAAAATTTCCCTAATAATTTCATTACTTTCTTTTGTCAGGCCCTATGCAACCTCATTGGTACCCATCCTTGTTCTTTTGACCCAATTTGTAGCCTTTATTGTGGCACTATAACCAAAGCCTGTTTTGCATATTTTTTTATTCTTTACATGGTTTTTGTTTTGAATAATTTTATTTTCGAATAAATTGCTTTTACAAATGAACTTGGTAATTAAGGTTCCTGTATACATTTTGTATAAATTAGTCAAAAATATTTATTGTGAATTCTCTTTCAAATACATGTTAGCAGTCTCAAAATAAATTGTTTTCAGTTTATTCTATTTTATATACAATACCATTTGCTGTAAGGAGTTTCATACCATAATAAAAAATTAAGAATTATACCTTTGCTAGGTTAGGTTATTAAAACAATCCACTGGCTCTAAGTGTGACCAGGTCTGATCATGAAGTAGTATTTTAAAATGAATAAATCACTCCTTAATTTTATTTATTTAATGCATATTTGAGTGCTTTTAATAAGGGTAAGCACCTTAAAAATGTTGAAGACAAGATAATTATTTAAAGTAGTTGTTTATAGTTCTTTTTTTTAAATAACTGGCAGGAAGTTGTGCCACTATATAAATGAGGCTCGAATACAATAATTAAGGACATAGATGTGAAAAAAAATCTAATGCTACATGTAATAATCATCTTTAATCTTTATAACAATCATAAAATAATATATCAGGTAAAATAACATCACAGTCTTATCTCAGAAATTTATATACATAAATATGTCTAATATCTATAAAATATAAATGCTTAGGTACCTAGTCAATAAATTAATGTCTTATTCTCAGCAATATTTGCTTTTATCAAAAACGAGTACACAACCACTTTAATGAAATATCATAAAAATGCAAATAAAAGAACTAACAATAAAACAGAGACAGGAAAAATTATATATACAGACATTCGAGGATGGCACACTGATATTAATATTGATGTATCTTCATTTCTTAACCCATCTCTTGTTGGAACATCTACAATAACTAATTCATCACTGAACAAATCAATACCAAAAGAACATTCCGTTTTATTTATACAAACTTTAGTGTCAGACATATTAGAATATTGAAAGATAGGTTTATAAATATCAAATATGGTATGAACATCATTTACAACAAAGTCATTATCACTATAAAAGATGTAATAATAATATCCATCTATAGTAACATCATGGACAACTTTGAGAGTTGTTGTGACTTCTAAATATCTCGTATTATTGCATTGTATTGAATATGGAAAATATTCATTTATTATCATATTTTCATTGTAACATTCATGAAGATTGTTCTCAAAACTAGATACTGATGCATCTTCTTGTAGTTGTAATTTGGGATTGGCATTTCCCCCATGGTTTACTCCAGTGTCCAAAAGAGTGTTAGGATTGTGTAAAGATGGACTTAATGTGTCTCTTTTAACTCTTTCTGTTTCAGATGTTTGTTCAGTGTTAGCAATTTCATAATTATCAGTAACTATTTCTCTTTGACTGTTTAAGACTTCCTTGAGTTCTAGAAGAGTATTAATATCTGGACTTTCAAGTGTAACTGAAACATTTTCATTTTTACTTATCAAAGGGGTATCTTTCTTATACTTATTACCTTCCAAGATTCCACAAGTGTCCAATGTCTTATCTCCTTTCACAACCAATATTTTTGATCCTTCATATCTGGAGCATGCCTTTAACTCAACAGTGGCTCCAGCAAAGAGGTAAAATCCCCAATATTCAAGTGTATCATCTGGCAAGGACATGGATTTTCGTAATGTTATATGTTTTCTATTTTCTGATAAATGGGGCCGCCCTTTCATTTGGAATGCATTGAATGTATTATTCATTCTTAAGGAATGTCTCTCACAAAATATTGATGATTGGCCTTTGTGTATTTGTATTACATCAGAATCCGATATTTTGTACATTACATCTGCATATTTTATATGTCTTAGGTATAGTGGAGATATTATTAGTATTGATGGTAAGACAGTAGTGAGAAGGCAAAAAACCACAACTCTTCTTGATCCATGCATTTTTGTATCATCTAAAAAGAGCAATAATAAAATAGATCAAATTTGCATACCATTTAATTATTACTTTGAAAAGATTCTTTATTTTACATGTAATAAATCTGAGATCCTATCAATCTTTTAGTTACAAATTTTTAAGAACCAATAATACCGACTAAATAGGTAATATCGCCATCTATGATTTTTATAGCTTTATAGATAGGGAACATTACAAATAAAAATATGATAATCCACTTGAAATGCTGATAAAAATAAATAAAAGTTCAATATTAATTACGCACGTACATACCAATATTCCTTCTGTCTAGCTTTTAACAGTAAAGATTATTATATCGTGTCATTCTTTTAACATTTACGACTATTTACATAGTATTTAGAAAATTTTAACCTTGAATTGAATCCGATTACGCCTCCAGTTTCGTTTAACAACAAAGATATATTAAAATTTATTTATCATGATAAAAATAATATTAATTACGTTTCTAGATATGTAATTCATGTTTCTGAGTGGTATTACAGTATTACCAATTACCATTACCCAATGGCCAATACCCATGTACCATAGCCAGTGATGCCAACTCCTACAAAATGTTCCCCCTAGGACCAACTTCAATTACCCCTAAATGTCGATCAAAAACTTGTTGTTTTTCGATATTTAAGCTGTAGCCAGGCTTGGGATTTTATATTTGGTTTAGTTTGTTGATAGAGTTCGAAGCTTAATATAAAGAAAAAGATCTTGAAGATTGTTCCCCCTAAATAAATGTACCCCCAAAAAAAAACCCCTGGACATCCTGATTACCCCTAAATTTAGGGAGAAAACACCCAAGTTGGCAACACATACAGTATTTTACCCCTAGAACCAACTTCAAATAGGTACCCCTAAAATCTATTAAAAACCTCGGTAAGTTTTTGTTGTATACTCGGTTCGATAGGTAATATGCCCTAAATAAACATAAAAGTAGTATTAAATAGAGTCTGGCAAATGAAAGAAGTTAATTGAATTATTTGAAAACTTTCGGATGGCAACACAGAATGTCATTGAATTTCTTAGGTTAGTATGATTTATTGCCTTGATACTTCATGCAATTACTTATTTTTATTTCTATTATATATTTTTCGAATAGTTAACAGGTATATTAGCCTAAACTTTGTTTAATTGATTTTTTGGATTCTGATTTTGATTATTCCGAATAAAGTTGTGTTTTATAATAAATATAGTTTAGTTTTCCATGCAATGCTAGTCATTTTAAGTATCAATAGTAAAAGACTTAATGAGTATAATATTTAATTTCATAGAAATACAATTACTATAAGTGTAAAAAATAATAAAATAAAATCAAGTATCAAGTAAGTTTAATCCACAAAATATATCAAACTTTTAGGGATACCATACTAAATTTTTTTGAATTTGCCGCGCTTTTTCTTTCATTAGCCGGACTCTAGCTGTTATTCTGATCTCGGAAAAAATAAATTGAATAGAATTGATATTTCAGTTATAGCTACGCTTGGAGTTCATATTTGGTTTAGTTTGTTGGTTAGGTTCGAGGCTTAATATGAATTGGATACATATGTGCGATTTTAAAGAAAACAAAATAAATTTCTTGATTAAAGAACACCTAAAATAAATGAACCACCTAAAAAACCCTCCTTGATTCCCCCTAATTTTGGGGGAAACTCCCAAGTTGGCATCACTGCCACTGCACTGTCATTGCAACTGACACTTCACAGTTAACAGTGCAGACTAGAAGATAACAGAGGTAAATATGCCAATTTATCGGACAGTGGACACCTTAAGTTTACGTCCACATTTTAACAAAATCGATAAAAATTACAAATTTGGCGAAAATATATTTATTGTGTCTTAATTTATCTTATTTTATTAATGATTCGGGTATAACTTATACGACCATTGGCATTGGCGACCTTTCATTCCATTTTGAAAACTAATGTGTAAGTTATTACGCCCGACGGGCGAGAACGAAAATTTTAGCGACTCGAACGCATATAATTATTTTACATTTAAAATACATGACATTGTAAAATATAATTAATTACATATTTTGAATAATTTTTCTTTTAACTCTCTTCCAAAATTACTTCCAATATTATCTTTAAATTTAAACTTAAATCCAATATCTTCATGAATTCATAAACTGTTCAAAGCCTATTACTGATGGCATCAGAAGTTAAGAAGAGGACACAGGTACTTACTACGGATGTTTTATACAAAAACAAATCCGAATGCTAATAATTTTGCGCAGTTATATATTTTGATGCATTGATAGAAGTTATTAAAGAAACTCATTGAGTTATTTTATAAATAGAGGTGCCAATATAGCAACATCGCATCCGTATCTTATCCCTTTGTCAAAATGAAATGGATGCCAAAAGACAACAGAAGTATGTTTCAGAAGTGAGAAAGATAAAATAAGACGACGAGAAGAGCTCCCAAATCCAACATTGAACATACCTACTGACAAATAAAAAGAAGGAAAGTGCTAAATCTTATTATATTATGGTTGTTGAGGTTGTGTTATATGTTATTCTTCAACAGCCAGATATCATGATGCCTTAGTACATTATATCTGGAAACACTACAGTATTTAAAGATGAAGAAAATATTTTGAGATCCTTGAACAGAAGATATCCAAATGTAATAAATATAGTTTAAAAAAACTAAAAAACACGCTTTTAAAGCACATCAAACTAAAAAGTTTTTTCAAAACTAGTTTTTTTAAACTATATTTATTTTCCACTTTTTAGTCCTAGCAGCAATACGTGTTGTCTCAATTTAACCGTATTGCTTTGTGGACTTAAAAAAAATGCATTGTTTTTTCGAGATAAACCTATGAAATTATTATATTGTCGCTGATTCTTTATAAGTGTACAAAGTTTGAATAAAATTTGTCCGTTTAAAGTGGGTCAAAATCGAGTCCGAAGGAGTCGGTTACATACATACATACATACATACAGGTGAAGCTGATATAAAGCGTGTAAAAACGTCTAGCGACCATTTTCATTTACTAGAATGATAATGAGACCTGCCTTATAGACGATACACGAAACGTCAATTTAGTGAAATAAGCAACAAGGTATTTTAAAACAAAGCATGCAAAGTTACATAATTATTTAACATTTTGTATTTAAATACTTTTAAATAAGACTATTACTTATGCAAGTGTAAAATATAAATGCTTTCAAATACTGAGTCGTACACTTTCCACTCTCGGCTGTTTCCTTATATCGAGAAAAAGCAGTACTCGATCCATAGAAAAAAGTATGTAACATTTTTGGTTTCTAAGGAAAGTGAAAATCAGAGGTTGGGAAGAAGTATAGTAGGTATAGATTTAATGCACAGATTGATTAAAGGAAACCAATAAATTTTTAAGCAATTAGATCTATTTTTAGCGGTCACTAGTCTTTTAATTGGATTTCGAATAGTTTTTTAAGTTTATACTAAACTGCAATGAAAACTCTTTCAGATGATCGAAAAGTGATCGAAGAACCGTTGGTTAATTTTCCAAAATTTATCGTCATAATCTTTTAGTATATTTTTAAATTTTCAGAACTTGCCAGTTTAATGTAACTTAGTAAATTAATTTTATTTTCCAAGATAGGTGCCAAAATGGAATAATAACAAAATAAAGTTTAGGCTGTATCAGTAGTAAGCTATGCAAAATAGGAGCATGCATTTAGATAATACGTTATAACAAATTATAGTTAGAACTTAGAACAACACGCAAACTCATAGATCAAGGTGAATCAAGGTTACAATTAATAGTAACACTGCATTAACGAATTCAAGTTCGATCACATGTAGCGATCACGATTCCGACTCATGGCCAGACATCGTCAGCCATATAAGAAATAAATTCCGTACAGAATAATAAAATAAATGCGAAATTAGGTGAAATTTCCAAAAGATTGGAACCCTGTTTCGTCAATTTCTAGTTTCTACACGACCATCCTTTATAGTATATCCGCCTATGAATTTTGTACAGATATAACAAAAAATTACCCAAAATATAACAGAAGATATATATTATGAATATTATTATTTATTTTAGAATTACGCATGTAAAAACATACTTTATATAATAAAATTTATTTCTTTTACTTATTTATACTATTTTATTTATTTATACTACTTACGATACTTATTTATAATTTAAACGCCTGGTAAAAAATATAGCAATAATTTTAGAAAATTTGAATTCACATTTTGTTACCTTTCTTTTTTTGGGTTAGTATTCATATCAATATGGATTTAATATAAATTAAGTAGATTTGCTGATGAATATTTGACGATTGGTCAAGCTATCAGATGGCTTATAATATTGTCATTTCATATTTAAGATTATCTTGACAATATATTTGTTCAGGTATAACGGAATATATATTATTTTTATTTCCGGTATTTAAGTGAAACTACAGACGGAAATAAAACATTGAAGCAAAGTGGAGTCTTTTAAATATAATAATTACGAATTATGTCAGCGCACACGCATACCTAGTGCATTGTACGTTATTTAGATAATTAATCGGATTTTGCAAAAGCTACAAAACGAATACAGAAACATAAAAACCACAAAGAAAAAGTCAACATTTGCGCCAATCATTAGAATAGTTTTAGGTATTTATTTATCATGGTGTTTTGTTAATGCATTTTGTAAGATCGCACTTTCACACAAACTTAAATTCTAGTTGAATGTAATAATAACAAGTGTTTATTGTTATATAAAAAAAGGGTGCGTGTACTTATGTACGCGCGTAAGAAGTTATACTTCTTTGGAATTATTAAAAATAGTTTTTGATTGCATGCAAATAATTAATTACAATTAAATAATCAAAGACTGGAAAAGGAGTCATTATAGTCAATAAAGTTCAGTTTACATTTGAAAAATTAAATAAATAAATATTTATTATTATTCTCTTACATTAATTGTAACATAAATTCTATTATTATTCGAATGTTGTTTTTAAATTATGTCCAATGCCGTAGCATCTCCCGTGGGCAACTTCATTCTGTTAATTTTGTGTCACGGTGCGCGCGCATCGTATAATTTCACTCTCATCAATTTTTCATAACGCGCCTAAAGAAGTATAACTTCAAAAATATTTTCTTTGGAACTATTCAGTAAGTATGTTATAGTCAACATTTTATAAACTTAATAATCACATTTACCTCAAGGAAAATTCGTATATCCTTAAGATAAAATTTATTGTAAAATACTTTTACATATCTTCAAATCTATACTGATAGACAAATAGCGTATTAAGATAAAAAATAGAATAACGTTGTACCATGGTAACTATTACAAGTGAATCTCAATTATCTTTATAAAAACGTCATAAAATTATTAGTTGTAGGTACTTAGTAGAATTTATCATTCATAAGTTCTGGACAATACAATCGAAAAGATATAATTCTTTTTAAACTTACCACTATCTTTGTTGGTAATAGATGTATAATTATAATTTGCATTATAATATGTATTACACGAATGATGAATAGTTTGACTCATCTCCACAATCAGATCCTACTATTTAATTAATAAATAATGTTCACACAAGTTCCACCTTCTTGTAAATGAAGAAACGAATGCTTCGTGAATTTCAATAATATTTTATGTAAACACTGCGGACAACCTTATTATCAAATTATATCAGATAGTAGGTAATGTTATCATGACATACAAACTGGAGAATATTAATATAGGCTATATAAATTGATTAGGTAGTTATGCGCTTGTTCCTATTGATATTGTAATATAAAAGACTTTTATGTTTAGATAACTTTAGGATAATATGTTGTTTGCACAGAAGGAATAAGTAATAAAATATTATATAGTTACACATTATATAGGCCATACAGTATACTTAGTACGGTGGTTAAAGCCGTATATAATTAATGCTTTTATTCGATATGCTTTTATTATATTTATAATTTAAGTGTATTAAATTAATTAATTAATTAGGTATTATTATTGAAATACCTACATAATTATTTTGAAATGTGATCATTTCAAAAGCGTGTAGTTTTCAAAATTTAGTTTAATTTGGTTAAAGTGGAAATGATTTACTTGTGGTTTCTGTATTATGACAGTTTGAAAAATAAAGTGTTTTAGAGAGTAATTTGGCTTGAAGTGAAATAACTTTTTACCTATTATTTATTTATCAAAATATCCTTAATTAAAAATATTGTTTCTTTATAGGTCAGTCACGTGGCAGAAAACGGTCGGGATTAGTCGAATGGACGATGACGTAGCAAGCTAGTAAATAACATGTCTGCCTGTCTTAATACTGTCAGGGAGTTTAATTTCGCCTGAGGCTGTTTTGTTTTGAGCAATTATTGTAAACACTACATTAGTGTTTACAATTAAACTGGTTTACCTTTGAAAGCTAGCAACAACACTATAAAACACTCGCAACTGCGTCGTAGATAATTCTTAATATTATAAATTTGTGTTTTTAAAATAAACAGAATTTAAAATAATAATATGTATTGGTTCTATATAGTCATAAATCAATAATCTGAATATGTTTTAAATCTTGAATAGCCTTTTTGAATGGCCCAAATCGATTGGTGAAGACGTGCGTTTTCCAATTACAGCACAATTAGAGCGCATTATGTGGCTTAATGCTCAACGTTGAATGTTCCAACTACAGCAACGCTTCGCACAATTGAGCACCCTCAAAAGTAATGCTCTCGCGTGCTTCTCGCAATCAATACCAACACAGTGACAGAAAATTGACCAGTGTTTTTCTTTAAGTTGGCATTGATCGAAATTTTCGTTAGTAAATATTATTTATTGTTGAAAAATTTGTAAGGCTTTCGTTTCGTCGTAGATTTTGAAAATAATTAAAGTTATTTCAAACTGCTAAAAAAAAATAAATATAAGTATGGATGAAGGTATAAATAGTTACTTTTTTTATATTCCACATTTAAAATATGAATACAAATTCATTTTAAAATTCGGATCTGTAAACAAATTTATTTTACAGGATTATACTTTTGTAAACATTGCAATGGTTTTGAAAAAGTATATAATTTTTTTAGAAATCATTTAAAAAAATTACTCAAAACGTAAATGATGTAAACTTCTTACATGAAACTAAATATTTTACTGTTAATTTAGCTTGTTAACACCTTATATTCTTTAAAGGTTTTCTCTTAGTTCAGTAAAAAAATGTTAATGAAATAATCAAAATCCAAACTACTTAAATTGAGCGTAAATAGTTTTCAACCAATTATTATTGTTTACCACATTATTTATACATTAATGAGGTTGCTAACTCTATTTAGAACATTTTTTTTTAACACTGACTTAGCGCACACTGCTGATGCATTTGAAAACTAATTCACGTTCCAATTAAGCTTCAGCATAATGCGGCATTGTGCGGCACTGAGTCGCATTATGCTCTGTTATTGGAAAACGCACGACAAAAACCACTAATAACTGCAGGCTGTATAAGGTAAAACTTGAGTCTTTATTTTTATCCTCTGTATTTTATCTAATATAATTGTCATTTTAAGGAAGCATAATATAATTCTATAGTCTATAGACTATGTAGTTCTTTTTCGTGACTAAAAGACAATAGTCAAATCACAGATGATCTCAGATCTTCTGAAGTAGTAGTACATAATAAGTAAATATTTGGTCAGTCAGACTTACGGCGTAATGTAAATTGTAAAGTAAACATTTCAGTCATTAATAAACGAAACTACCTGACTTGAGACTTATTTACTTCTGAAAAATTTACAATTATTACAAATATAATTGCTCACTGGGTAGTGGGTATAAATAAAATTAACAAAACTCTTGTCTTACTTTTTTATACTTTTAACTTTCGTAGATAGTCAATATTATGAACGATATTCTTAAACCGGAATTGATATGGATTGAAAGTAGATGTTACAGAGTAAATGACCCTATCGTGGATGTTTCTTTTCACCAAGAGCATGACCTATACGAAAATGGTAATATTTATTTTGAATATCTCACCAGTCACCTGCACTTGTAGTTATTTTTGTAAAAGTTTGATTAATAAGTCTAGTACTACATTCACAGTTTTTGTATATTATTTGTTTTTTTAGATATGCCCTACCAAGATTTGCAAGAAAATGATGATGACACTGATTTTGAAGTTCAAATGATTGATTCAGACAGATACTGTACAACTTTTCATGTATCCAAGTATGTTTCTTATTAGAGTTGTACATGAATTTTAATCATAATGTAACAAATATGTATGTTTATGTTATTATTGTAATTACAGACATTATTTAGGTAACATAATAGGTAAGAAAGGAGCAATAAAAATGCGTATTCAAAGGGACACCAAAACTGACATAAAAATCCCACGAATGGGAGAGAACAAAGATGTTGTTATTTATGGTCCAACTATTCCAGTGAGTAACACAATTTTTATTACATCTATATGAGTCTTCATTTAATTTACATATTCTCTTTCTTGTTAAGGTTCAATCATATTTTTATTTATTTATAATAGTAGCTTTTCCAACTCCTATAAAAAATTTGGGCATATTTTATTAACTGTTTCATTTTGATTAACTCAATTTAAATGTAATTTTAGAGTGTAAAAGCTGCAAGAAGGAAAATCAATATGATTGTTATATCGGCTAGAATGAGGCAAAGATCAACACACTTTATATCACTTCCAATGAATAGTGAAGAAATAGTGAAGAATTTTGACAAATTTAAGGTAATTACAAAAATGAAATAGAAAATGTGTTTAGCACAAATTCACTTTACCTGAGCTGGGCAACCTTATTATTCATTCTAAATAAAGTTTTGAATGCTAAAAATTCTAAATCGAATCCTGGCAAAACAGGTCCATCTTTAGGCATTGCCCTGTTTGCTTTCATTTGCAACCTACATGCTTTGTGATTGGTCCACGGTCTTCACGTCTCCGTTCAAGAAGCCTTTGGGACGATTGGGTGTAGTCCTTGCATGCCGTAGCAAATTGCTTGCCTAAAAATATCAATTATGTTGATACTCAAGATACCCCTTTAGTTGTAGGGTTGGTAGTTGGATATGGTGAACTTATATAATCATATAAATAACTCTTAAATTATTCTGGCTAGACTGTTAAAGAGTAATTTTTTGTCTTGTTTTTTCAGGAAATGGTGTTGCAAGATTGTCAAGGTAGAGGGCTGCATGAGTCTATATTTATAAGAGCTAGTAAGTTACATATCACTGTAGGTGTAATGTGTTTGATGGATAATGAAGAAAGGCTGCTTGCATCAAAATACTTAGCAGAAGTTAAAGAACATATTATGTAAGTTTCTTGTATCTCTGTATCTGGTATAATATAATATAATATATATAGTATAATTAAACAAAAAAAACTATTCTCAGCATACGTCATTGACATATGGGGTAGAGAACCAGACCTATCAATAGAAATAAATAAAAATATGTAAGTACTTATGTGTAAAAAAAAATGTGTGCGTGTACTAGGTGTACACACGTAAGAAGTGAAACTTCTTTATGACCTTATTTTTCGAAAAATGATCTACTATATGCAACTTAACTTAACTTATTACTACTAAGATTATTACAGAATTTCATTAATTGTAATAGAATTATTACTATCATTGTTATCGTTATTATATATTTTTGTTATTAATGGCTTCGAATCTCTTCGGATCAACCGTGGTAGGGACAAGAAAAAGATGGCGCGTAACTGAAAAACGTGACGATTTGCTACAAAATTTCTCCCATACGACGATAAAGACCTGTCATTCCAACGCCGATAAAGAAGTTTGACTTCAAAAAGCAACATGGCGCGTAACGGAAAAATGTGACGCGTAACGAAAAAATGTTACACTAAATTTTTTTCCAACCCCGATAAAAAAAGTTTCACTTCAAAAAACTATAAACGCTTACATCTCCATAACATTTTTTGTACAAAATCTTACATTAGCTCATAGCTATTAGCACTGGAAGATCAGATCTCAGTTCGGTCTGTTTTGGCGAGCTTAGCTCTGCGGCTTGGGCCGTCGTGGGGTGGTAGATAGCTTGAAGGGCAGCAGTGAAGCAATATAATCACAGGTGCAAAGTAGGCCACAGTAAAGTAAAATTGTACTGGACATAGACTACAAAAAATTCGCGCCATTCGTTAGGTTAGGTTAATAAACACGTTGAATCACAGTAAGTTTCATGAAAGTACTTTATGCATTGGCTGAATTAAACTGTATTTTAGGCCCATGATACAAAGTCACTTGCCACTTAAGTTACGATTAAAAGGATTGTCGTATATGAATGATGATCCCAAAGAAATACATGTGTTGTATGGCTCTGTTCAAGAAGATGACGCCCCTAAAGGCGTTTTACAGGATATGATCGACGCTATAGCTCAGTTCTTTTTTAAAAAAGGTGGGTATTAAGAAGTTTCTAATTTTTTTATGTAATTTGTTGGTCATGACATGGTGCAAATTTAGAAATATATATGTGTTGATTTTTACATTTTATGCATATCAATGACGTTATATTGGCTTTGTATATACATTTATATGATTGTTTATTATTCTATATATATAATCTGTTCACAAACACGCGACACACCAGAAGCCAGCCATGGGACAACGGGCTGACCGGTTTCTGCGTTTGTTTTATTGATAATTTTCTGGGATGAAACCATATCATAATACTTAAGATCGACCATTAAAGGCGTCGTTTTTATTGCCTTTGTTTATATTTTATTTTCATACGTGAATGCGAAATTAAATGTCCGAAGATAAAAGTTATTTTTAGGTTTTAACTTTTGTGTAAAACATCGACAATAACAAGTCTACAGATATTCGCCATAATCAGGTTGTTTGACTAGTGTTGTACTTGTGTTTTGCAACATTATCGTCTTAGTCGTCCTAGGTTTACTAATATAATGAGTGATGTTTCTGCTTACCCATAAATCCAAAAATATATTTTCAGGACTTATGGCATATGAGTTTGGTCGCGATAATGTTAAAATACACGTTACTCTATTAAACTCTAAATATAGAGGGAAAACAATAGAAAACGACAGTCCAACAAAACAGCAAAGGGAAAGCTTCGACGGGTCTGAAATATTGGAGAAATTCAATGATTATGACTTTGGTGTTATGGAAATTAATAATATTCATTTATCCCAAAGAAAATCTTTAGCGCCAGATGGCTTCTATCAACCGACTTGCGTCATAAGTTTATGATTGAAACTAAATATAATGTCTTCCTGTTAAATTCTTTGCCCAACATTTGAAGAATACTTGTCTTAAACTAGGATATGCGCGATCGAATTCTTCAATTTTGTATACTTTCTGTTTACATATTTGTTAAACTATTAAGGTGTTTAAATAAAAATATATAATAATTAAATTAGTCTTTATCTTGCTTACAATTTCATTGAAAGCAGCAAAATTAGATAAGTTATATATATATTTGTTCTTTTTTCCACAATGGCTACATTCCTTATTCCGTCACTTTTTAAAAATTATATTATATTATACCGTAGATAGTATTATACGTATATTCTATTAAAAAGAAGTATTTGTCAAGGACCCTCTGACTGACAGAAATTTTCCATATTATTTGAATAAAACATTAGAGAATTTAAATTAAAATAAAATGAGAGAAGAATTAGTAGTATTTAAATAAAAAAAGAATTACAGTAAAGCATAAAAAAGAGTATTATAATAACATTGCATTGCATTTAACAAGATTAACTCACTGCAATTTAAAGAAATAATTATATCGTTGTTGCCTTGATGAAACCTGCATGAAAAAGAAATTGTGAGGAAGTGCAAGAAGTACGAAACTCATAATTATTTATATTAAAGGAAATAAAACAACTAACTACAAATATGAAAAATAACTAATAATAATTGTAACAATTACGCCGAATTTGACGAATATGATCAGGATAGGAAATGCTAATATTTTATAAAGGTCTCCCTTTTCTGGCTTTTAAAATTAAAATTATAGAATAGTGTTATAAGTCTCGACCCAATTTAGTTTGGATAACGAAACTTTTGTATAATGTGAAAACTGAACTGTATCTTTACAGAATCAAGTTCACAATCGTTAACAAGGACCATCTTCGAGCCATTATTATTATTATTATTAAAGCTTTATTTAATCCATACATACAACAATTGTTAGTTTATATTCCTTAATATTATATTAGTATTAGTTAAGTTAGTAAGTTTTAACAAAATTTAAGTTAGATTTTATTTTTAATTTTTTATATCTGGTTTTTGTATGGCCCCTTTTAGGGTAAAAGCCTCCTCCATATTTTTCCATTTTTCTTTGTTTTGCGCAACATCCATCCAGTTTTCCCCCGCTAGTTCTACAATGTCATCTGTCTTCGAGCCATAACGTGAGGTTATCATTGTTCAAGTTATACTGCCAAGAAAGCCCTTAACCTGAAAATTGTATAAATCAAAGGCCTTGAATGTTTCGTAGCAATGTCGTAGCTGTCTGAGAGGGACGCGAACTGGGGTGCGTCAGTAGATACGTAGCAGCGACGACGTGATTGCATGCATTTTGTGAGTGTGTAATCGTATAATCGCGTAGCCTGTTTAAGGAAATATTATTTATAAGTTTATATAAAGAATGCAGAGCAGTGTTGGCCTAGTGGCTTCTGTGTGCGAGTCTCATCCCTGAGGTCGTAGGTTCAATCCCCGGCTGTGCACCAATGGACTTTCTTTCTATGTGCGCATTTAACATTTGCTCGAACGGTGAAGGAAAACATCGTGAGCAAACCGGCTTGCCTTAGACCCAAAAGAAATCGAGGACGTACGTCAGGCACAGAAGGCTGATCACCTACTTGCCTATTAGATTAACAAATGATCATGAAACAGATACAGAAATCTGAGACCCAGACTTAATAAGGTTGTAGCGCCATTGATTTTTTTTCATATAAAGAATAAGTTGAATACTTACTTAAAATATGAATATTCGCTATCCTTGGAATTAAAGCTAAGCTGGACTAGATTAAAAGGTATTTTTGTTATTTTGCACTTTTTTTTGTGAACTTTAGTTCACAAAAAAAAGTGCGACTTTACATGAATAACAATCTAGCCTATACAATAATTATTATGGCTAATAAATAATATTACGTTGACTCTACAATTCTAATAAATCGCTTCAACTATGATAATGTTTATTAACAGTCTTAGAGTTCTATAATGTTTTGACACTATGTTTGTTAACCGCACTTGCACTCATATTTTGTACTTATAGTTAAAAAATGTAGTGTAGTGAACACTAGGTTTTTATTTCAAAAGGTTAGTACTCTTTAGGCGTCTTATTCCTGTTGTGTCAAGAAGTTTGATTGCCCCAGCAGTCAAGTAGTAGCATTATCAAGCAGTCAGGGCAGTCTTGCCATGCCTTTGTCTAGCTGACTAGGTACCACGAGCTTGCTTGGGGTTTGAAGGATTGGTCAGGGTGGCGGCAAGAAAGTATCCGGAAAGACAGATTTTAACTCCTCGAGCGGGAACAGCAAGATTTATCCACGCATTTTATCACTTGCAATAAGTATTGGGATTCATGGACATGAGCGCTATACCTCGTCACATTAGGTTGTAAGCTATCTTCAGGCTTTCTAAATTCCGCCGAAACATCGTAGCTAATTTTCATTTCACTCCAGGGGGCCTACCATGAACTTTCTTAAAACAATCCAGTTGAGATGCAGCGGAGTTTAGGTACCTTGGGGCCTACCATGAACTCTTATTGCGAGCCTATTGACAACCTACAACTGAGATGCATCGCTAATTCGTACCATGACATCGAAAAAACGAGACAGTTTATGTTCCCACGTGACCTTAGCGGTTATCAGATTTCGTTCGTTCAATTTGTATGAAAATCCGTACCATGACCGCTCGGCTGAACCGAAATTTGACAGTTGCGCCTTCCAACTATGACAGAATAAGCGATTCTAAAAAAGTTACTTTTTGTTCAACTTTTTTGTATCGAAATGTCCAAATAATAGTTTAGAACCTATAAAATTTAATATTTGTATTAAAACTTGTTAATAAAGTTAAAATAATAAGATTTATCTACTATGGCTAATATAGGAAAAAAAATATAATTTTTATATTTACGATATTTTGGGGTATTTTGAGTGTAGAGTGCGATTATAAATAAATTATTAAAATATAGACGGAGATGAGAAACAAGACGGCAATGCCCTTCCGACTACCGACTTCGTAGATATTGAGTTTATAATTTACTATAGATTATTGACTTTGATTCATTGAAGATTTCAGTGTACCTACAAATAATTGCACATTGTTCAATAATATTCAATTAATTATGCATGTCTAACAAAAACATAATCCCCCAATATAATATTTTACAATAAATAAGAATGCCATATTACTAGCAGATATTTATTATAATTAAATTTTTCCTCACTATGTTCATGAATTGTATTATTCTCCTCTGCTTTTTGTTGTTTAAAAAAACATAGGTATTTTTAAATTTATAATGTGTAAATAATAAGCCATTTAAAAATATTATAATAACAGTATTTATTTAGTTAGGATGACTCCATCAAGATAGAAAAAGATGTCTTCAGGCAATGTTCAATTGGTTATAAACATTTATTCATATATCTCAATTTAGTCAAGTTAAGCTGTAAAGAAAATTATTATTATAGCCTCTTTATTTCCATAATGAATAACATATTAAACAAGTATATCATATGATTAATTATTACATAATATGTGCATGCATTAAAAAATACAATATTATTTATTTCTATTATATTTATAATCTTTAAATTATATTCCAATCATAATTAATAATTTCAATGTATATAAGTTTGAAATGATAAATAAATTAATAAGAATCAAACAAAATTCATTTTTATAAATCATTATAAAGTATCATTAAATCGTTATGGACCCCTCTACGGGTAAAGGCCTCCTCCATTTTGCTCCATCTGTCTGTCTTTTGCTTTGGTGGTCCAGTTTTCACCAGCTTTTCTTTTTATTTCATCAATCCAGTTTTACTTTGGTCTACCTCTTAATCTTTTTGTTGGTTCTCGCCAGGTTACCCTTGGTGTCCATTTTTCCTTGTCCGTGCCATGCATGTAAGACCCGCCCAATTACATTTTTGTCTAAAGCTTTGTTGTTTTCCTTCTATTATTTCTATTATTTTTGTTGTTTTCCTTATTTCTGTATTTCTCTTCCGATGTTGTCTTTGTATGTTTAGTAGACTCCTTTCCATCGTTGTCTGGCACACTTGTATTTTGTTTTCGGTGTATTTATTGTAAATCCATGTCTGGAAGCCATATGTAAGACAAGGTATTAAATATGAGTCCATAATTTCTCTAATCAAAAAAAAAATAAAAAATCTTTATTGCTCCAGGATTTATTCCAGGTTATGTTGACTCGTCTTTTAACCTAATCGTCGTGTCTTGTCTTTGAGAAAGATACTTGTTGACCCAGGTAAACATAGTTTTAAACATATTGTAATGTACTGTTATTAACCTTTATTGGAATAGTTTGGTGGTTCGTCATAATAATAATCTTTCATTTGATAGAAAAGATTTTGCATTGTAAGTGCATACATCGAAGTTTTGTAGTGGAGATGGAAGGTTGTAGTCATTACCAGACCAGCCGTATTGGGAGATGAAGAGGGGCTTTCCTGTAAAGAAAGAATAATTATTTATATTATATGAATTACTTAACGTATAAATTGAGTTTGTACAATTTGAAGGAATTATTTTTTATTATAGTTACTTATGATTTTAGAGTAATAAGTTGATTTGTAATATCTTTTGCAAAGGGTTTTATATCAGTAATTCACTTCGTTATAGGTATTTATTTTTAATAAATAAATTTGTGAACAATACTTACCCCATACCATTATTTTATAAGTTAAACAATTTGTAAAACTATATATATTTATAAAACCGAAATTTTGTAAACACCAAAATATTGAAAGCTCCTATCAAAATTTGAAAGAAACGTTTAAAAATAATAAGTGTCAACTGTCATAGCACCAGAGAACTTTCCGTTTAAAATATATCAAAAGAATAGTTTTATATAAAATAAAAATATATAATAAGACATAATAGCTTATTGTGATTGATGAATTATTTAAAATAATTTTATATTTTATTTATTTTTATAGAAATATCTGTCGAAGTAAGTTTTAGGTACCTAAACTCCGCTGCATCTCAACTGGATTGTTTTAAGAAAGT